GAAAACACAGAAGACACTTCGTGAAATACCAGATCACAGAAAAATGAAGGCAACCCTTAAATATTTGCAGTTTTCCAACTTCTCTCGTACGAAAATGCTAAATTGAAACTAGACTGGAATAGACCTCCTAATTACATATCCTTTGTCAAAGAGTAGAAAAGGATCCAAGCCCGGCCATCAGAATCAGAGGCAGGCACTTTAACCAGTGAGTCATCTCACTAGCACCGAAATTGTCTTTAGAATGAACACACTAAAGTAAACAAGACATATAGTGACTTAGAGTATATATGCAGACTGCTTGTGCGTGTACATGTATTTCTGGAAGGATTCCTTATGAGTACTTGCCTCCCAGGAAGGAAGCTGGGTGTCCTGGAACAGGCAAATTAAGGAGATTTTGAGCTCTGTTCCTTGTTTTTGCTTTCACTGGTCTACCAAAGGTCTCAAATACACATTTCCACTGAGGTTGTTTGTGGCAAAGGAAAGCACAGTCCTAAGGCCTCACTGGGATCTCCAGGTTTAGACAGTGCAGTCAGATGAGCAAGAAAAGCTATGGAGGTCTCTAGCCTTAGTCAACGCTGCTTCTCTGCTAGCTTTGTCTGTGGTTGAGGAGAAAGGTTCTTATAGCTCTACTGCTTAGGACCAGACCTTCTACCCTCCTCTCCAGTCAAAACTGTAAGCAGTGCTATTTCTGTCACAGGCCCACAGGAGACTCATTAGGGACACCATCCTCAAGGGCTCTGCAAAACTAACCCAGCACTGTTCTTGCTTTCTTCAACTCTAGAAACCTCCACTCTGTCCTCTGGGATGAATGACCCACCGGTAGCAAAGTCTACATTTTCGCCTGCTTATCATACTCCTCCACACATGACTATTTGGATTCATTCTTGCCTTAGCAGTGACCCAGCTCTCCCGATGGCCTACAGCTCCCCCTGCAGTCCTCTCACGGGGTGACCGCCTCTACCATTCATCCTGGGAGATGCTTAAAGAATCTTCCTTCTACCTCTCTCCCTCCACCCCTGGAAGCACTTAGCGCTGACACCCATCCATCAGGCCTCCAGTTAGCACTGCTTATTGCAAGGGGTCCTGTACAATTGCCTGGGTCATGCTTTTTTTTTTTTTTAACTTCTTAAAGATTGAAGCTATTGGCAGTTACTCTGCTATAATATCCTGGAAGTCATTTGATGCATGTTCTCTCAGTCTTGGTGTCCGTTCCTTCAAAGCTCTTGAGTGTTTTACTTCAGCCACACTCTCCCATAGTCATTTTCTGTGATTGCTGTTCTTTTGGACAGGGTCTCGCCATACAGCTCTAGCTGACCCAGACATCTTTATGGGGTCCAGGTGGGTCCTGAACTCACAATGATCCTCTTGTCCTTGCCCCTTGAGTGTTGGGATTACAGATATGAGCAACAATACCTTGTACATATTTATATTCATAATTCACAATGTACACATTCATAATGTGCCCCAGAGCCCTTTAGCATCACATGGAGCTTGTTTAAGTTCTTAGCTCCCATTTCTACTACGCACAGTACTCTCACTCTCAAGTTCAACCCCCCCCCCCCACCTTCCCATAGCCTACTTCATTTGGTCTTCTTAAGCCTCTTGATCTCTTCCCTCGTAAAGCCCATCAACCTACTAAGATGATGCTCACTATACCACTAGTTCTTATACATGTTGTTTCTTTCTGTTTCCATGATGTCTACCCACCTTTGACTCCTCAGGACACTTTTATTTCAGGAGCCATATCTAAAGGTCATAACTTCTAGTCAGTTCTACTTTAAATATATAATCTAGTTTTTGTTTTAACATTGATTGCACCCACTCCAGTCCAAGAACAACTGTCTTCTACTCAGAGTGTTAACCAGCTCTACTGACTTTGTTATCCTGTAGACCTACTGTGTTCACCTTCTCTATGGAGACCAGAGTGAGCCTTTAAAAGACAAAGGTTCTATTACCACTTTGCTTAAAATTCACCATACATCTCTTTCTAAGCAACAAAAAATAAAGTCCCTGGAAATGCTTGTAAGGCTCTGGGGGACCTGACTTTCCCTTCCAGGGAGTCACTCCTCACCTCTGCTTTCTCTCTGTCCTGTGCTGAAATTTTGTCCTTAGAACAGATACCTTTTAACCCACTCTGAATTCTTTTGTTTGTGTTCTGCATTAAGATGTCACCTTTGTAAGGACGGGACTTCACTAATGAAGCCTAGGGTCCCCTGCTTCTACTTGATACACACTAGGTATGGGGGTGTTGGTGAAGAAATTGGGATCATAGGAAAATGGAGAAATTAAAGTAGGGTTTTAAACATCAACTGTTTAGGGACTGCCTGTTTAAAAAAGGGAAGAGGACCCTCAGGCTAATGTCCCACTGCAAGTAGATGGACCAGGGCATTCCTCCTGACTGTTGGTGCCTGAAGTTTAATGCCAGCTCCTGACTCTGCCATGGTTTAATGAGAGGTCCAGGGACAGCAGCAGTGTTTTCACTGGATCCAGAGACTCACAGGGCATGCAGCTGCAGGTGCTTCCATGTCCTGTAAAGGGGCAGAGTTTAGGAATATGTAAATAGCCTTCCCTGATTGTCACCAGATGATTCTGGTACCCACTACTTCTTGCCTGAATCAATTTTTCTAATGCCTAAAAATAAGATTATTATTCTAAGACACAATTTCCCTATTCATCATTTGCTTAGAGTCCACATAGCCTGTCAAGTTGAATGTTTAAAAAACCCAGTACAGTGTAACGTATTACTGTCAAGTCTCCCATTTTTATCTGATAGTGGAAGTCCCAAGATGTTCCGTCAGAGATTTTTGTATAGATGGTACAAGCACTAGGTAACAGGAGCCTAGAGTAAATTGGGCACAGAGTGGTGAAGGGGATGGACTCTGGGGATGGCAAAGCAAGGCTCCTGGGAGGATGTGGAGTTTGGAGCCAGCCTTGAAAAACAAATGGTAGAATTTTGATTTTTTTTTTTTTAAAACATCTTGGAAACAGAAACAAAAACCACCGGAGTGAAGAAGGGCCAGCTTTGGCATCTGATGCCATAATGGGTTGAGTTGTCATAAGGGAATTGAAACAGCCCCAGAAAAGCCTTTGCTGTATTAACACAGTTCTGTGTGCTCAGTTAGGCTGGTATCTAGAATCTCCAACCCTGGGCAGATTGTTAATGAATCAGATAGTAATAGAGGAAGGCATTCTAGGTATGTGGGTGGGGGAATGCCCTACTCAAATACTCTTTTCTTCAAGAGGGCTTTTCCAGACCCCTAAGAAGCAACATACATTCCCCCTATACACTCCCACTGTGTTCCATGTCTCTTCTGAGAGTCTAGAACAGTGGTTCTCAGCCTGGGGGTCTTGATTCCTTGATCACGTTCATGCTTTCACAGGAATCACCTAAGATCATCCAGTATATCAAATATTTACATTATGATTCATAACAATAGCAAAATTATAGTTATGAAGTAGCAACAAAATTTATGGTTGGGCATGTCACTATAATATGAGGAACTATATTAAAGGGTCGCAGCACTAGGGAGGTTGAGGACCACTGGTCCTGACTGTCCTGCACTATTGATTTCTCCTTTAAAGTACCAGCTGTGTCTTCTCTGACTCTTCTTTCTAGGATTGAACACAAAGGTTCAATGAGTCTTACTTGAATGCTGAATGTGAGAGGAGAGGAACTGGGTTAGGTTGGGTTTTACAGTCTCTGAAGGCCATTTTAAGGGGTCTGGGCAGTGTCCACAGCAGAGAGATGCCGGGGTAGCTTTGGAACAGTGAAGCATGGACAGGAGCTATGCAAACTGGGGGAGCACCCAGCACACAGGTGCCAGAGCCTAAACCAGAGGGGATTGATGGTGAGTGACCCAGGTGGCCTGGAAGCTAGCAGGCTCCTCAGTGCTCACTCAAATACAAGAACTAGAAAAAGTGAGGCATGCAGTGTGGATAGGGTCTCCACATGTGTGATCTAGAGAACCATGAGGCTTCTTATCTCCAAAGGTTTCTTGGGAATGTCCAAAGACTTCAGCATGGTTCTGTCCATTCCTCATCTCAAGCTCTCCCTGAATTCAAAACAGTATGTGCTGGTAAAAGATGTTTATTACGTCAAATATCATGAGAGAGGAAAATATTCTCCCTAAGTGAAAAATGAAACATAGGATTTGATATAAGCGGACGTTTTCTTCCATTTATCTTTAGTGATGGTTTTAGTAAAAACGAATGTTAACTGCTTTTGTAACCTTAAAACTCTGTCTTCTGAGAGCCAGCTTACCATGAAAGAAATGGTCGTCAGTTTTCTTTTGGTTCCTGCCCCTTCCTAACAGCACACAATTGGCTCTGCACCTGCTCCAAGTGTCAAGCCTCTTGCCCAGAAAATTGCGGTATCAAATCTCAGTCCCGACTGTGAGGCAACCCATCACCACTGGCCTCTGAGAGGGGATGCCTTCCCAGTCCCTAGGAGAAAAGCACTTTCTTCCCTGCCACCTTCTGGGATTTGAACTCTGACCTCAAGTCTCCTTTCAGCCACCAGTATGCACCACACTGCTTGATAACAGTGACTCACCCCTGGTTGCTCAGTCTGTCCCTGGAGTCATTGGATAGGTCAGAGGGCGGTAGACCTGAGGTCATTAGATGCCCAGTTCCAGTGTAAGTATATATCTAAGGAGAGGAAAATGCACCTTTTTGTTTGTCACAGCCCACAGCCTGACTCCACAAAGAAGTGCCTCATCTGTGAGCAGGTCAGTGTGCATCAGTATTGCTTCCATGTTTACAAGTTGCTATTGTTGATACCTTTCTTTCTGAACAACATGCTCGTTATAATGCATGGCTTATTTGAAGAGGGAAAGCATCGTGTTTGGCCTCTAGGAAAGCAGATGGCTAAAAAAAAAATAAATAAATAAAGCCACACTCAAGCAAGAATCTAAGATACAAATAGCAAATGCTATTTAGAGTCATGTATGATATTCTGATAGGAATATCTAAGCATCTAAGCTTACCTGTTTTTGTTTTAGGTTTCTCAAGCAGACCAAAGGCTCTAAAGATCCTCCTCAACCCTCAGAGTCACAGAAAGGAGTCTGTCCAAGTCTATTATGAGAAGGTGGAACCTCTGCTGAAGCTTGCGGGGATAAAGACTGATGTGACAAGTGAGTCATTTTCCCTCTGTAACTTTACTGCTGAAGACTCCACAGGGAGCCCACACACTCTTCCTTCCTAAGCACAAGCAGCTGCTCCTAGCAGTAAAGCTTTCTGCATGTGTCCTGTCGCCAGCTCCAGAGCTGTCCTGCATTTGCTTTGCTTTTTTATTGTGCTATTGTGTGTTGAAATATCAATATTTTAGACCTCCTTCACAGTAACAATTATTAGGTGTTGTTTGAAGGAAGCTATGGCTTTTGACATCTTCAAAATGTTTGCTATATTCACATTTCTTCCTAATGTTTTTCCGTGGCTCTTCCCTTGGGTTGTTTTTGTTCTGACCCTGACCCCTGCTGGTTAGGTCAAAATGAAGCACCAAGCTGCTGCTTTTAGTTGATTTAGGAGAAACTGGGAGCTTGGATCCTTTGTGGAAACTAAGAGTGTGTTTAGCTACTTGCTAAGGAAGACAGGAATTTGCTAATCCCCAAATTAATAGAAAGAATGTTAGTAATGTCTTTTTGGACATTTAATATTTGAAGACCAATTTCCCCTGCTTTATTAACACTCACCATATGCCCAGCTACTAGGAAGGGTGGACACTGCCTAAAGCCAGAACTTTCCTGGCTTTGTTTATATGGCTTCACCATGGCAGAGGGAATCTGCTGCACACTGTAGTCAGTAGAGTCTATTATGTAATTAAGCCGCATGGGAGACAAGCCCAGAGTACAGTTGGAGTGTCCTAGTCATAAGGACATGTTTTGGGAGGAGGGACCTGGCTTTGCTCAGCTGTGACAGACAGAGATGGGTCTCATAGTGTTAATCAGGTCTTTGAAATGCAGTGCATTGAAGTGCTCAGGTGGAAGGAAGTTCCTCCCTCTAGTAGGTTTGTAGGAAGTTCAGACACCTCAAAGACATCTGCCACTATGAAAGTTAAAGGCCCCCAACAATGGGGGTCCATGCCTATAATCCTCGTACTTGGGAGACTGAGGAAGAAGACTATGGGTCTGAGGTCAGCCTGAGCTACATAGCAAAACTCTGTCTTACTGAAAATAAATGAATAACCAAATAGCAGTAAAAGAAAAAAAAAACTACCTCAAATGAATTCCTGAATTAAATGAAGTTACAGTGGAAAAGTTAGTTTGTTATGGCTATAACTTTGGTATTACAGATGATTCACAAAGGAAACACACACTCCAGATTCATCCCTATTGTCTATGGAATAGTTCCAAAGATCAGAATGATTTGAGGTCCATGTTGGGATGAGACAATTAAAAGTTAGATGAATATCAAACTCATGAACAACCATTGTATTTTACATATGTGAACACTACTCAGGAGTTTGCATGGACATGACTATGTATCAGTTAGCTTCTGAATGTCTCATTGGAACCTAGTTACTGTACCTTGTATTTGGGAGGTTGAGGCAAGTACACCACTTGTGCCCAAGCTTTTGAGGTCAGCATGACAAAGAAGCAAATAATTTCTGTGGCATTTCTTGCTCTGGGCAGAATGCATAATTATTGAGGATTCAAGCAGATACTTAACACTGAATATTGTGGTTTTGGCATACGCATAAAAACCTAAGTTGTCTGGAGGTGATACTAATTTTGATGAGAGGGCTCAAGAAAACCACGTGATCCAGATACTTCTTAAGAGGCAAAGGAGGCAGAAATGGGAGGGAAAAGGAGAGTAGCAGACATATTAAGTGAGGGAACAGAGATAGGAGCGGGTAGTGTAGAAAAGGAACCCATAATATCATGGTATCTTGGAAGTTTCTTATTTTGGCTATACCTCCATAATTTTGAATTTATCTTGAATCCGGTTTGTCTAATCTTCATAAAACAGTTGAAAATTTAAATTGCAGCCTCTTTTTTTTTTCTTACCTAGTGGGATGACGAAAGGCAAGTATATTGTAAGACTCTAACATGCACCAAATTTTCTTTTGGTTTAATTATCTATGTTTCACACAGTACAGCTGTTTCCTTTCCTGGAACTAAGGGTAGATTCCCTCTTCACGAAGGCTGAAAAAAGATGTCTGAATAGAATGTGAATCCTATTAAGGAAAAGGGGCAAAGTGGCCTTGGGAAGGGTCCCCAGCAATGTTTCCCATATAAGCCTGATTCCAGACATGGTTGAATCTTATGTTGCCCTCAACAATTTGCTTATCACATCTTTTAGTGACTTTTTAAAAATCATGGTGTGATAATATGGTTTGGCAGAGATGAGTCCACCAACTGAATCAAGATTAAGGGAGGAAGAGGGGGAGGGAGAGGAAGAGGAGAAAAAGGAGGAGGAGGAAGAGAAAAAGAAGAAAGCTGAGGATTTTCTTCTGTATATCAGCAAAACATTTACATAAAATGTTCTCTTTTTTGTCTCAAAGACTGAACAAACATGTGACTGCTGGGAGTGTTTCAGCTTTTCTGCCTACCTTGCTTAAAGTGTCATACAAATATGGTCCTTAGTTTAGGCTCTCATTTTTGTAAAGTTATATAACAGGATTGAATTCACCTTTTAATGGAAAGAAAATATATGAAGAATAATTCAAAAGAGCACACATCTACTGCATCCTATTGTAGTTTATTAGGGAAAGTCATACTGTGTCAGTATTTGGCCTGATTTGAATTTTTGCACCTATGTATAATACTTTTCCCCCCACATTTGTTTTAAACATAGATCTTATGCATTAATAAATGTATACTTCTCTCACTCCGATTTGTGCTGAAACTCTAGCCACTTCTGAATATAGATCAGCCCTTTCTGAAACATTTGAGTTAAAACTGTACCCCACCATGCTGCTACTTCCACCAATGTAGGATTTTCTCTAACAAAAGCATCAGCAAGGCTTCTGGAAATCCCTCAAAGAAACAGGCATTTATTCTAGTAACATATTGGTCCACTGGTCAAAGAAGAGAATGAATGGTAAGTCCAGGCTAATATGTAACATATTTCTTCTCTCTGGCTCTCTAGATAAAGAAGATATTAGAGTTTGTACCTTTAAGGGTACCTTCAATCTCAGCACTTAGCGGGAAGAAGGTGGATCTCTGAGTTCAAGGCCACCCTTGTCTACAGAGTGAGTTCCAGGACAGCCAGGGCTACACAGAGAAACCCTGTCTCAAAAAAATAACAGCAAAGAAAAAATTCTGGAGTTTTGAGAGGTCATTGGGTGATAGGATAAATTTACAGAACAAAAAAGTGGAAAAGTCAGAGAAGTAGATAAGTCTGAGAAAATAATTTCCTGGTAGAGTAGTGTGGTTGCACATGGAGAGGAATTGAAGAGAATACAGCTAGCATGCTGTAGGTGTTTGGCTCTCCCTGTGCCTATCAAGGAGCCTTAGCTTGGGACCCTAGGCTAGAAGCTGAGTGTCACGTTACTGAACAACTTTGATGTCCTTGAGTGCAGTCTCACTGCCTTTGTGCACACAAGCAAAGGCACGTCCTCCATGCCTACTTACGTATCAGCTGATCCAGCCCAAGGCCACATAGCTTGCTGATTAGGAGCACTGTTTGTATCACAAATCTACTTGTCTTCTTAGCTGGATGGTTTTGGGCTACTTATACACTGCACAATGCAAAGGATGTGAGAGCTGACAGTTACCTCCTGACAATTGTTATCTACTGTCGTTAATGTTGTTCATTGTAATAATACATAATTAGTGCATTCTTTCTGGTGTGCAGTCACCATGCTCTGTGACCTTCTGTGTATTCACAACAGGCACTTTGGTCTTCAGTTACCCTTTGCTTTGAAGAAAGCACTAGACCTTCTCATGGTCATTGTCATCATCATGGTTGAAAGAGGCTTCTCTGAATTTACCCATGATCTCTGTAAGCTCAGAGCCCCTGGGGATGTCCAGTCACCAGATAATTCTGCCTCATTGTGATGGGGAGCATTGTTCAGAAAGTGGAGCTCTTGTGGAATCACATTCTTTTTATGTGGTCATGCTCTTGGCTTCTGGTCCTTTGTGACTCTGTGTTCTTTTCTCGTTTGTTCTACATGGCTCTACTTTTGTCGCTTTCTCGTTCCTTATTTCACCCAGCAGAAAACTAGGCCATCTGGAGAAATTCAGTCACAAAGCATGTGTATGGGGTAAGGGCATAAGTTATGAAAGGTGCTAGAAGTTGAGCATCCTGGTCTGGGTCTGCTTTGAGCATCCTGGGATGCCTGTCGGAGAGGAAAAAAATAGTATTTCAGTATCCTATCCCATAGCAAAATTTGAGTACCAGACCAAGACATGTTTCTTTGTGTCTAGATCATATTGTATCTGATTTTATTTCAAATTCATTATGGTCATTATTTGACCTGGACATAGTGCCCTGAGGTAGTAACGTTTATGCTGAAGTGGAGGCGTGCTGAGGTAAAGAGCGGTGAAGGGCAGGTTCAAATCTCTAATACTGAAAGGACACAGAATGCCGACTTCATTGGAAAAGGAAAGTAGATGGAAAGGCAGTATCATAGTAAAGAAAAAAAAATAGTTTTGTTGAGAAACCCTCTTCATGATTATTTGTGGTGGGATGACCATGGCTCTGTCTGAGTATGGAGCCCACAAGAGCTTGTCTAGTTACTTGTTTTGATTCTCTCTACCTTGCATAGTCATCACAGTTTGTCCTTTTCCCTGCGTTCTTTTCCTTTACATCACGTTTTACTAGTTCATGTCATAGATGCTTTTGTCACCAGAATATGTTAAGTCTCTCCAGAGGCTGTTTATTTTATTCATCCTATTAAACAGTTTACACCTCTACATTTCTTAGTCAGTTTTCTTTCATTTGTTTCCTTTTTTGTTTCAGAAAAAAAGTGATTTATTTTTTAATTTATTCAATATCCCTTAAGATTCCTATACTTAGATGTGTTACATTAGTATATAATCAAATGCCAGTTGAGATGTTAAAGAAAAAAATCAGGATATTTTAACTCTCACTTAAATAAAAAAAAAAAAAAAAAAAAAAACTTTTAGCCCAAACATAACTTTAAAGTGAATTTTATAATACATTTGAAAATTTTGTTCAAAAGTAAGCTTTGGCATAAAACTCAAGTGTGAAAACTTGCTTCACAACCTATGTGTTTTTTCATAACAACCTTAGTGATTTTGAACATGTGTAAGAACATTTATTACATTGCATTTTAAGATTGTACATGATTATATGCATATGGTTGTAAATGAGTTATCAGCACACATCTTTTATGATAATGTACCTTTGCAACTTTATTAATATTGATATTTTAAATTTTCTTATATCTTTCCTCTGATTGGAATTTATCAGGGATTTCGTTCTTGTGAATAAGCTTGGGGAGAATTACAATGTAACAATGCTGGATATAGAATGATTCTCTCAGACACCAAGACTAATAATTTTTAACAATAACCAAAAACATCATAGGAAAAGCTTGAACACTGCTGGCACCAGGGACAGACAGGCATGAAAGATTAATGTAATCTTGCATATAATGATGCACATTCTTACACAAAAAAATCCATCTGCAGTGTCATGTCAGTCAGCAGAAATCTTTGATGGGTGGATACAGCTGGGCTGCCTCTTCTGGCAGGGATGCCCCAGAAAATGCTAAATGTGCTTGTGATGCTCGGTGCCATCTGCAGTGTGCCCACTCATCCTGTCTTCACTGGCATTTCAGTGCTGCACGGGATATTAGTGACTGTGGCAACAGAGATGTGGTGTGACAGACTCGTTTCCTCTGTGGACCTGGGCTCTGGTCCTGTATGCCGGCTTCCCCCCCACACTCCACCCCCCCCCCCCCGGGTTTGGGTTTCTTATCATTGGGCTGGCATTACTGTGTATTTTCACATCCAGCTCCGTTTTGTTTTTTTTGAGTCTAGCATCTCTAGATACATGTTCTTCTGGTATGTAAATCTTATACTAACCTTTCAACTAATTTATTCATGTAAGGTTGCCAAAGTGATTTAACATTGACTGTTCAATGCCAGCAAATATGCTGTATTTTCAAAATACTCCTGTTCCCAAGCTTCTGATCAAAAGGAAATGTGTCTTATTTAGGGAAAACTAAACACACAGGCACCACGATAAACGCCCTAAACACTGTGTGTTGGATATCCATCCCTAAATAACTTATATAGTTGCAACAACTATGTGGTCACCTTTTACATAAAGCTATAAAATACCAGACAATGAATATTTAATCCTTTTTCCTATGGTTCAAATATTCAAGAATAAATACTTGTTTATGACCTGACCATATGTTTTGAACATAATATTTTGCCAAACCAAGCTTAAAAAGTGTGGATTGTTGTTTAAAATATTATTTTCTGTTTTAATTTAATAGTAACAGAATATGAAGGGCATGCCCTGTCCCTGCTTGACGAATGTGAACTCCAAGGATTTGATGGGTAGGTTGTATTTTTAATCTGCACATATATAAAAAATTATACTAGTAAAAAATTTCTTAGCTTTTAGTCACCTATTTGGGACTGATCATTTTAAAGCATTATAATGAATTAGGCTCTGTTCATGTACATATGCTAGTAATTAATGCTAATATATCATGGTCATCCATCTCTAAGGACCTGACATAGCGAATCAAAAAGAGAAATTATAAATATCAAGAAACCCTATACTTAATGTGCATATATTTTTACTTAAAATTCTTAGTGTTTCGCTTTTACCATGTCAATATAAAGAAGAACATTGATGAGAACTATTATATTCATCATACAGTGTAACAATGCTGTGGTCTTCTTTTGCAAGAATAGCTATTCAATAATGAATTTTGCTGTGATTGATTGGAATAGATATTTTGTAACAACAAAATCTATTTTCTGAATGAATAAAAGATGCTGGTTTTAATTATCTCATAATTTATTGACTAAGTAGATATGGTTTTGTTTTGTTTGTTTTGTTTTACAGGTTTAGCATTTTATTATGAATGGATTGTCACATAGTTCTATATTACATATCAATTAAGGCAACACTGTGTGGCTTTAGTTTTTATCACCAGGGATGAAAAGCAAGTCTTTATTCTAACTCCCCTGATAGCGCTGATGGCTGGGCACCTAACTGGAAGGTGGTTGCTTTCTTGAGCCCTGTATGCCCTGCTACTTCGCTTTCAAGTATTTCAATACAAAATCTCTCTGATCTGATGAGACCGTCAATTCTCTGCTAAAGCAAAACACTGCTCTGGATAACCTGGGGAAAACCGTGGTATGTTTGGTTTAGAAAGGGACCTGTGACATGCTTAGATAGGGCACCATTCCCATACCAGGGCTAAGCACAGAGCATCCTAAGACCCCCTATTCATTGATCTCTTTTTCATCATCTTCAAAAGCCTCTTCCCTGTCTTTGACCATGGCATACAGGTATTTCTGATGCTGGAACTCCAGGTCATTTATGTTACTCTCAGCTGTGGTGAACTTCACCTCACCTATGCCTTCACCTGAGAACCAGTGCATGAAGGCCTTGTGGTGGAACATGGCCAGGAACTGCTCTGAGATGCTCTTGGATAGCACATCTGGATGCACGGTGGTGTTGCCGATGAAGGTGGAGGCCATCTTCAGGCCCCAGGGCAGGCTGTCACACATGGTCACCTTGATGTTGTTGGGAATCCACTCTACAAAGTAACTGCTGTTCTTGATTTGGATGGACAGCATCTGCTTGTCCACCTCCTTCATGGACATTGGGTCCTGAAAGACAATGACCATGATCAGGTAGCGGCCCATGGTGTGGTTCACAGGTGGTTATGTTCTTAGCGTTGAATATATGCTGTGTGAGCTTGGGCACTGTTAGGAGCACTGCACCGCTGACTTCCCAGGGCTGTAGGTGGGGGCAAAGCAGGGCATGAAGGGATGTAGGCATTGGAAAGGCACCATGTTCACAGCCAGCTTTCGCCAGGTTGATGTTGAGCTGGCCAGGGAAACAGAGTGATGTGACACTGCTCATGGTGCCAGACACCAGGTGGTTTGAGTCCCCCTTGGTGGGTATGGTCAGCTTGAGCATGGAGAAGCAGATGTCTTAGACATTCATAACAGGCATTGGAAACTTGCTTGTAATGCCTTGCTGGAGTGTGCTGAAATTGCTCACTGGCATTTGAACATTAGAAACAAGGCAAATGAGATACAGAATTGATTGCAAATGTAATGGATTAATGTATATAATGAAAGCATATTACTTTGGGGAGGGTGTTTATGCAAGACTTGCTATCTGAGAGCGTTAAAAGATGATATGTGGATGATTGCCACATGGCAATGGGGAGAAGGGAAGAAAAGACCAGTGAACCACTGAGGTCTTGAAAGGCAGTTGATCTTCATTTTCCCCAAAATAAGAAGAATGCTTTAAAGCTTCCAAGGAAATATTAAGACCCATGAAGGGTATCGTTACCATCAAAGAAAGCACTGAATTGCAGTAAAAGAAAGTAGTGCCTAGTGAGGCATAAAATTTAGAAGGTAAAACATGATTAAACAAAGGGTACATAAGAAGGCTAGATGGCTATACTATAAAAGCATTGACAGTCAAGAGGACAAGGTGGGCAATTACTGTATAATTTCATACCTAGAAGTGAGCAGAAGGATAAATAGGCTACATAGGAGGAAATGATTCTGGAAGTGTACATTAAAAAAATGTGTTTGGGAAATTTATGCCAAATGATGAGCGACTTAGACTGGTCCAAAGTCCCAAGTTACAAGTATAAGAAGATCATGGCTTCATTCTAAGTCCTTGCTTTGGACCTTGGTTATATAAATAAAACTCAGGGTGGCAGATGTACATATGAAATCTGAACTTACTCACTGGTGGCATGAGACGCTCTGATGAGTGTGGTATCTGTCAGTGTCTTCTCTTGGTGATTACACCATCTGGGGATCTAGAATGGCTTAGAAGTAGGAAAAAGGATTGCTCAAATTCAGAGAAAGGGTTTTTTTTCCCTTTACATAAATGTATTAATTTTTAATTTATTTCCCATGTGGAAATTATTTTGCACTATGATATTAAAAGATACATAAAACTTTTAGTTATTACACATTCTAAAACTGTTGTGTGAACTAAGTAAGTCCATTGATTTGTTCTAATCCTATGGTATACTGATTTACTTTGGGTGTATAATGATTTTAAATTTCTATTAGAAGTAATCTATGTTCCAAATATTTTAAATAGTTCATTTATTTTGATGGATTTAGCTTTTCTAATAGGAGCTGGTGTGGTTGGAGTAACTACCTTAATTAAAGGTAATTCTAATTCCCCTTACTTAGAAATGCATGGACTGTTGTGAAACAGTGGAAACATGATTATTTCAACAAACACTTCAAGAGAACAAATCTCTAACAAGAATTGTTCAGACAGGAAATATCTCTCATTGAACCTGTTTAAAGAATGACCATAGGTCTCTGCATCTGCTCCCATCAGTTCTGGATGAAACCTCTCTGATGACAATTATGCTAGGCTCCAGTCTATGAGTATAGCAGAATATCATTCAGACTCATTTCATTCACTTTTTTTTTCTGGTGGTATTTGGTTCTATCCTAGGTCTCAAAGCTATCCAGACTCTGGTTTCTGGCCCTCCAGGCAGTGCCAAGCAGAGGCTTCCTCTCATGGCATGGGTCTCAAGTTAGTCCAGTCGTTGGCTGGCCACTCCCACAGTTCTGTGCCACCTTTATTCACAGTATATCCTAAGACCCACAGACATACATTAGGCAGAGCTCTGGGAATCCTGCAGAAGAGAGAGAGGGAGGATTATAGGAGCCAGAGGGTTCAAAGACACCACAAGAAATTAGTCCACAGGATTAACTAACCAGGGCTCATGGGGGCTTGCAGAGACACAAGGGACAATCAGGGAGCTTGCATGGATGGGTCTGACCTAGGTCATCTGCATTCATGTTATGGTTGTGTAGCTTGATGTTCTTTGTGGAAATCCTAACATCGGGAGCAGGGGCTGTCTCTAACTCTTTGCAGGTTTTGGGGACCCTATCCCTCCTATTGGGTTTCCTCGTCCAGCCTTAATATGAGGAAATGTGCCTAGTCTTATTGTAACGTGTCATGCCATGTTTGGTTGATATTCCTGGGAGGTCTGCCCTTTTCTGAAGGGAAAGGAAGAAGAGTGGATCCAGGGAAGAGGGGAAGAAGGAGAGGACTGGGAGGAGAGGAGGGAGGAAAAACTGAGGTCAGGATATAATATATGAGAGAATAGTAATAAAAAAAAGAATGACCATAAGAATATTTTTGAAAAAAGTTTATACAAAAGATTTAAAGATGGGATGTGGCCGAACATGCCATTTCATTTTGATGAGTGGTGGAATCACATTCCCCCAGGAGCTCAGCCTGTGGTGTTCCTCTTTGATGGCAGTGGAATTATTGATTGGAAGTGGTTAGTAAGTTATTCATGGCTTCTAGACAGGAGGCTGGGAAGCTGCAGTCCAAAAAAGCTCCAGGGCAGCTTAGTCAGCAAAGTGAAACAGTTTGCTAGATGATGTTTAAGAAATACTATTTCCTAAGATTTTAGAGTTTTTAAAAACGAGTTCCATATGCTTCTGTGAAGACACATTGTGACATATTTCGAAAGCCAAGAGAAACAGCAGATCAACACTCAATGACAGCTGCTGTCCCACCCCAGTGTGTTCTAGCAAACACTGTGGGATCCATGGCTAAAACTTGGGGGAGGTTGGGTTCCATATTGCCCCTTATTTACATGGCCTGACAAAAAAAGTTACATAAGGGCAAAGAAGAGAATGATGTCAGCTGTGCTGACTAGAAGCCATGGCAGTCGCATTTACTATAAAGTGAACACTGTTAAACAACCTGTAGCGTTTATGAAATTGTTAGTATATTAATCTTTGCTTTTCTTGTGTGTGTGTGTGTGTGTGTGTGTGTGTGTGTGTGTGTGTGTGTAATTTTTGAATTATACAGCATTACTCTTTTGTTCATAATACTATTAGATATATAAACTATAATGTAGATGTTACTTGGCTGTCATTGACATTTTCTCAGATTTAACTGTGGTATTTGTACTAGTAAGTTTTTTTTAAGCCAAACTCTGAGTCAGAAAACAATCTGACTCTCAACATTTCAAAGATAATATTGATTGTAATAGAAGATATGCAAGCAATCCCTTAAAAACCTTTGTTATTTTTCTTTTAGAAAAGGAAATAAATGTACCCTGATTCTACTTTTCTAGAAAGAATCATTCTACTGAGTCCAGTGGCCACATTTTCTCACCCTGAGAACAGCAAGACTTAACAGATGCAGAGGGGTCATTTGAGTAACTTTTCATTGTAAAGTAACTTATTGCAAAAGGGTGAATTTTTCTTCTTTCCCATAATTATATTAAATACATTCATTTATGTCATCTACCTGGAGGCCATCTTAACAGTTTGATTAGTTATATTAGTTATTTTTCCTGTAAAGTTACAAAATACTCAGAATTTTTTTTAAAAATCAGCTTAAGGGAAGAAGGGTTTGACTTGGCTTACAGTTTGAAGGTGGCACCATCTTCATGGTGGGAAGGCATGGAGCAGGCATGTGAGGCTGCAGGTCACATGATTTCCGTGGTTACAAGCAGAGAGGGATGAATGCTGGTGCTTAACCCATTTTCTCCCATTTGTATTCGGTCTGGGATGAAAGTCTATAGAATGGTGCTGCCCACAGTCTAAGTCTTCCTTCCTCAGTTAAACTTTTCTAGAAATAGACTCATAGACTTAACCAGAAGTCTCTATCCATGGTGATCCTAAATGCAGTTGACGATGAAGATTAACAGTGATCTAGTAGTTGTTAACACAAATCAGCATATTCTTTTCTAACTCATTCAATTTCGTGTTGACTTTATTGGTTCAAAGTTATTTTTAAAGTAATAAAATTCCCATAAGGCTACATTCTTTGGATTTCATACATAGAATGAAAATGATAAATTGAATGATAGATACTTACTAGTGGGTGACCATGGGAAAGCTCCTTAGTCATTCTAAGCCTTAGCTTCCTGATATGTAAATTGAGGTTATCAATTTATCTATTATCTGCAGCTATCACTTAAATAAGTTAATACCAGGAGAGTGCTGAGAACAGTGTCTGATATGTATGCAGTCATATCCACTAACTGATATTCACTAATGGTACTTAGTCACACTTACTTGTGGTGATATTTTATTTGTGCTTTGATAAATAAAGCTTGCCTGGAGATCAGGGGGAAAAGGCTAGCCATTTTAAGTAAATGAAGTCAGGCAGCACACACCCTTAATCCAGTTACTTAGCAGGCAGGGTCTCTGTATGTTCAAGGCCATACTAGGGAACAGAGCCAATCATGGTGACACACACCTTTTACCAACCCAGTACCAACCATAGAGACCTGGGGGTCTGTACAGACAGACAGTGACAAGGAAGTGAGGTAGCTGGGCTAAGAGCCAATGAGAGGGCTGAAAAGCAAGGCAATAAAGGCATGGGTAAGACAGGAAGTGGCTCAAATTTGGAAGCTGCAGAGCTGGTGAAGTAAGGTGGGCTGGTGGCTATTCCTATTTCTCTGATCTCTAAGGTTTTCACCCCTATATTTGGCTCTGTGTTTCTCATTTAATAAGACCATTTAGAAATTCGTCTACACTTACTCTGTTGTTACAGTTATAATTTGGATTTGTTTCAAAAGATTTTCCGAACTTCTATATTATGGCAGAGTTTTACAGGTTATTTGTTTGTTTGTTTGTTTGGCAGAATGCTCATGGAAAGGCCCTCCCTGACTCTAGCAAGGAGGAACATAACTATGCTGCTGTCACCTGTAGTCATGTGTTGCCATCCTATGTATATAAGAATCAAGCTCTTTCAAGCTCAATTATATTTTGGGGTGGTGGTGGGGGAAGAGTTTATATGGTCCTTTTAGATCACACACAGCATGTACATGGTCATGGATAAGGATTTTGACAGAGTTCATAAAACATTGGGAAATTTTGAAACCAAACAGATAAAAGTTCAAAAACTTGGAGTGACATGCTTTTGGATGTTAACAAGCAAATGCTGGTTAGATGTGAGTTGGGATGTTCACTGTTTACTACTTTGTAGCTCAAACTATTTGGTCTATGGAGAATTGTGAAGGGTCTGGTTTTATTAATCATTTGTACCTGTGTAGTGCTGTGTCTTCTGAGCCATTGTCCCTTACTAAAGGCTTGAGGTTATTTTGAGTGATCATATCCACTACCCAGTCATATACACTATGTAAGGAAGGTCAGAAAATGTTTTAAATTCTAAATTTCATGAATTCAACAAATTTGTTTTCTTCTGCTTGCTTCTCTGTTTCCAGTGTTGTCTGTGTTGGTGGAGATGGATCTGCTAGTGAAGCAGCCCATGCGCTGCTCCTCAGAGCTCAGAAGAATGCTGGGGTGGAGATGGACTGCCTCCTGACTCCCGTTGGTGCACAGCTTCCACTTGGCCTAATACCAGCAGGCAAGGAGTAGCTGCAGATTCATTAAACTGCTCCCTGTCCTCTTTGTCTAAGAAAAGGGCTTATTTCATCTTATGGCTTACAGTCAATCACTTAGGGAAGCCATGGCCGGAACTGAAGCAGAGGCACAGAAGGGTGCCGCTTACTAGCTTGTCCCATGGCTCTCTCAGCTATCTTTACAACTGGGTACCATCTTCCCAGGGGTAGCACCAACCACAGTGGGCTGGACTCTCCCATATTAATTCTTCATTAATGAAGAAAATACCTCATATCCCACAGACTCGCCTATAGGCCAGTCTGATGTGGAGGTATTTTTTCAATCGAGGTTCCTTCTTCCAAGATAGTACTAGCTCATGCTATGTTGACAAAAACAAATCTGTACAATGTTCTCTTCTGTAATTCCATTTCCTATCTCCTAATAATACTCAAATGTCTTTGGTTCTGAAACAGCCTCACTCAACGTCCAGCATTTCAACAAGCAAATGTAAAATATAGGGCAAGAAATTTAATCTTTTGGAGCCTCATTTTTTTCTAATCTATATTAGAAGAATCATGTATAATATCCACTTGATTACAAGATTATTGTACTATGAACTTTGATGTGCATAGACACTTGGGCAATTATCAGAGGAATTTTTATTTCACTATGAAAAAGTCTAATGACACCCAGAACCAGATAGGAAGTTTCAAAGTAGGGCTGCTCTACATATGATGTTTACAGTGTCCTGTGAGGTAAAATGTAGAACTTGGGCAACTGTAACTTCAACAGGTAACTTCCTTCTTCCTGGAGAGAGAACCCAGGCCCAGGAGGGCAGTCTCCTTCAAGGCTCTCAGGTTCCTCATCTCTTATCCCAAGCATATCTCTAGTGCCTTAGCACAGGGAATATGCAATAATGTTTATTAAGTTGTGTGAATATACAGAACACCTAAAATATAGGCTCCACCATAATAAAAATGAAGGCAAACCCTGGAAACGCTTGAAGAATAGGAAGGGAGCCTTTGATAGGAGATGGGAGTGTAATAGCAGGCCAGTTGATGGACACTCTGCATACGTGCCACAGAAAGGGGGCTGACTTTGACCTGAGAAGCAGTACAAAATTATGGGATGTTTTAGGTCAGGGAAACCATTCAATGGAGCCTAGTCCAAGAGAATTTATTTAGATACAGGATGCAGAATTACTTGTGGAGAAAGCAGAGATCAAAGCAAGTGAAACAGAGCAAGACTATGTACAGTTAAGGAAAGAATATGTTATTATGTACATAATTCACTCATTCCACTGAACAATCATAAAGGGAATTTGTTACTTTTTCATTTTAAAGAGAGTTTAAATTGCTGTGATAAAACACCATGACCAAAAGCAACCTGGGGAGGAAATGGTTTATTTCAGCTTAAAGCTCATAGTCTAGTATGAAGGGAAGTCAGGGCAGGAACTTGAGGCAGGAACCTGGAAGCAAGAACTGAAGCAGAGGCCATGGAAGAATGCTGCTTACTGGCGTGCTCCTCATGGCTTGTTCAGCCTGCTTTGTTATAGCATCCAGACCACCTGTCCAATAGTGACACCACACATAGTGAGTTGGACTTTCTCACATGAATCATCAATCAAGAAAATGCCTACAGCCCAATCTGGTTGGACACATTTTCAATTGACATTCCCTCTCCCCAAATGACTCTGGCTTATGTCAAGTTGACATAAAACTAACCAATAAAAAATCATTATGTATAATTGTTAAGACAAAAACAGGAAAATAAATTTTTCTTATGAAAATAAAAAAAAGTATGTGTTTAAAAGAAAATTCAATGTTCTGTTTAATAACCATATCCATGCCATAAATTTAGAATTGCTATTGTAGAGATAGCTCTACTTATGTGTTTAATATGTGAGTGGTTCCCTAAGGGATTAGCCTTAGGGTTTTATTATTGTGAAGCATATTTGTGATTTTGCAAGTACATACATTATTCAGTAGATAACTATAGAAATATCATTAAAAAAAACCAGAACAGATCCAAATGCCTTTGTAAAGTATGGAGTCTTTTACAAGGCCAATCATTTAAAGGGTGAGAGAGATTAGAATATACCCTGACAATTTAAAGTACTTACAAAAACCAATAATGTTCTCAAAGAAGATAACAAAACAGCCTTGACCAAAAAGGGGGGAGGGGAGGCAATTTGGACCATTGTTTCATGCTGTTTTATTTTTTGACCTTCAGGGTCATTTTAGTAGTTCTGCCTGTAGCTGGTGGAAGCTTCCCGGCAGTATATGTGCCCAGGCTGCAGTTCTTCTCATTAGCACTTGGATCTCTGAGGTCATTCACTAACCACCATAGCTCAGAAATGGAAAGGGCATCTTCTAAGAAGTGTGCTTTTGACATGGAGGGGAGCTGCTTATAAAAATTGGTCATTATGTCTATATTATGTAACCAATTTTTACAAATGCATAATGTTGAGGTATTGGGAATTTTTCCCCCTTAATTTCAAAGCCTATTTATAATTTGAAAATATCCTGTTATTCAGTGGCTATATCCAGGAATGGCATTGTCATCTTTGTGTTTTGAAGATACAGCAGGCTGCCAACTCTGGTAGTTGGATAGGAGTTGCAGCTTGCTAATTCTGTCTAATAGGAATGGGAAAGTCATGTGTGGGGTGTTTTAATACGGGGATGCTATGCCTAGTCAGGGTTTTTGATGAAGAATGGGAACAAGAGCTAGGCAGGAAGTTTCCAAGCTGCCCATGAGTAGACAGAGTCTGCCTTTGAAGCCATTTGCCTCCTGGAGAGAGACACCCAGAGGGAGAATGTTTAGTAAATTACTCCACTGAGCCAACAGACTAAGCTGCTGAATTATCCTCAGACTCCAATGTATCAGATGTAGGAAAGCCAGTATTTGAACTGCTGGCCATTAGGAATTGTGTTTGTTGCTATGGGAACTGGTGCTAAGGAACTATACAGACTGAGTCTGATTAGAAGGGGATGGGGGATAGTGAGAGAAGCCTGAGAGGACATAAAAATAAAAAAGCAATCCGGTTGTTGTAAAACAAGACCTAATCCACACACTGATGGCTCTGAATCATATATTCCTGTAGAGTTTGCATAAATAAATTTCATGCTTTCCAATTAATTTGGGTAGAATAAGATATTGCCGAGGGACTGTTAATTTCTATGATATTTAAGGCAAAGAAGCGATATGTAGGTGCTGCTTTCATGAGAATTTTAGATATGCTTGACTAGGAAGTCATTACATCACATTTATCTGCTTGGATGTAGGAGACATTAACAGCCTTATGAATATTCATGCTGTCTGGTTAATTAAGTTAATTGTTCTGCAGAAGTGCTTGCACTTCCAAGGACAATTTTTTTCATTTATTTATTTATTTATTCATTTATTCATTTATTTATTGCTTCTGTGGGTGCTGCCTAGTACATTACCAGGCAGGGTTTCACTTTCTCTTTCATGAACTGCTGCACCCCCCTCCCCACCATCTCAACCCAGCTCTTTGTTTTTAGCACATTTCAGCAGGTGTGGGGGAGGGGCTGGTGGGCAAAGTTACTGGTGGTGTTCAGAAAAATAACTTTTCCTGCTAATTAAAATGTTTACCTTCTGCTATTTATGTGAACAGTGCAGTGAGGACATCTTTTCAAATAGCATACAATTTCCTGGAGGAAAAAAAATATTATCTGTAATTTTATGATGTCAAATGCACTTTCTCATGAACTTTTATGTTTTCTTCAGAGTGCTAAAGACACTCATGTCCAAAGATTAAAGGTAACACATTAATGTGTAGATGATGAATGATTTCTGACATCTGGTCGTGCTTCCTATGACAACTAAATTGTGTTGGAGGACAGTTGCACACCTTGACAGGTCATGAAGCAAACTGATTTCTAGCATCTCCAAAGGATATTGCTTGAGCACTCATCACACTTCAAGATCCTGGGGAGCTGTCTTCCCTTTTCTTGAGTCACGATGCATGCATAGCTATTGTGACTAACGTCATTACATTGTATATCTTAAAGTCTTTCCAGAAGAATGAATGGTTTTACAGTCTTCTTCAACCCCAGGAATGGAGGAAATGACATGAAAGTCTACAATCAATATTACTAAAGACCCCCCTCTAAGTATGTCTCCTTTCCAAAGCTTTTACTTAAATCTGATGCAGCAAGAAAAAAACTGATTTGTTTTCCTTCTGGATAAATCCAGATTTGTCATGAACCATATGAACATTACCTAGGCAGTAGACTCCAAAAGTTGATGCAGAGTTCTAGTCAAAGGTCCCCAGAATAAAGGGTTCTAGACTACCTGTTTTCAGACCAAGAGTGTAAAAATCACCCTGTGCATTTGTGAAAACATTTACCTGGGTCCACTATGTGCTCACACACATATTCAATTCACATCACAAGTTGGAGGTGAAACCTAGGAACCAGGTGATGTTGCTACTGCTTATTCATAGACTGCGCCTTTATAAAATTTACCTGGGCATCTTAAAAACTGTAGACTGATTCATTGTATCTAATGTGAGGCTTGAGAAACAGGTTTTCCTTAAGTTAATTTATTTCTATCATAATTGATTTAAATGGCTTTTCCTCGCTCATTTTGAAAGGACTGAAAACTGTTCATGATTACACGTACAACATGCTTTGGAATATGTAGACACCGTGGAAAGGCTGAATTGGACTAATTACCATATTCACTCCCTCACATAGTTATCGTTTTCTTATGTATGAGAAAATGAATTCTACTCTTAGCAATTTTCAAGCATGTTACACGTGAATTGTAGTCACCATGTTTTACAACAGAACTCTTGATATTCTGACATGGACTTTGTATCCTTGACCAACATGGCGCTACACTTCCCATCTCTCCACCACTGTTACCTGCTCCCTGCTTCTGTGAGTTCAGTTTTTTTTTCCTTTGTTTCAGATTCCACATTAAGTGAGATTTTTACAGTGTTTGTTTATACCTGTCTGTCTTATTTTATCTTGCATAATATCCTACACATTTGTCCAT